TAAACGTTCGTTCGCCTATCTTGACTTCTTGAATGCTCTCATTTTGATTATTTTAAACATTTGAGTAGCATGCAGATAAAACTTTCAGAGGGGGAGAGGGGACATTGCTGAAGCCTAGAACTTATTTAATTTTGGGTACTTTTCTAAGAGCATGTTCTTGCACGTCAACGCATAGTTGCTTGAAGAAATAAAATGTAATTTTAGATTGCCTCTTTCGGTGTGAGTTCGATAGTCAGGCCCACCGGTCACTGCACCGGTTACTGCAACTTCGATGTTGTCTTCAAAACACGAATTCGATCGATAATTTGTAAATATGCTGCAACCTATCCGTTACAGAAATGCGTACACCATCAGGATCTTGCTTTGCAATCCCAATGAAATGTTTATTTGATTGCTGTAAGTCAACCCAGGCAGAGGCAATTAGACTTTACAGTGGGATATTAAACTTTAAGGCGGTTACTGAAACGTTACTTCTGTGTTTGCTTGCGTCACTGAAGTAAAACTTACTTTGCTTACGCTTGGCAGCCACTAGTTTGCTCGGTATTTACCTACCTCAAATTACGGCTTCCACTTTAAGAACCCCGGAAAATATAAAACGTATTTGAATAGCTACTTAATATATCGGAGTAGCTTTAATATATTTATCATTATACGATATTGCTTGAAACTGGCAGCCTGCGCTAACGTTGGTTACCGGCTTGGTTATGGTTAGAGTAAAGATTATAATTGGGTATGGAGTTTATTATGGGGTTAGGGCTAGACGTATGATTGAATTTTCCTGTTATTGCAGAAGTTTTGGTCACTTCTGGTCGGAGGTGTTTTGTGGTCGTTTTGGTGTTCAATAGGTAACTAAAACGAGAGTATGGCGGGTAACCTCTCGTAAAGGCAACTTTAAAATGCAAACTTTACGTTAACGAGTGTGATATCTGACATTCAGGACTCCACTTTGCTCCCCACACAGATGCTATCTAAACCGTTTCGTCAACGCTTTGTACTTACTCGATGTAGATGAAGGGATTGTGCCATTAACCTTTTCACAATATTTCTGTTGAGCTTTTCGAATGCCTCTAATTGGCAAGGGTAGATACAGCATTTCCTTCAGCCAAAGCTGTTAAGCATGGTGTAAGCTTTTGGAATCTGAACTGGTTATGCCCATTTGTACCTTTAAAGAATAATCTTGTGAAATTAACATCTACCAACCTAACAGTGAAGAATTTGCGGCCAGCTCATTTAATTTTACGTATTTACTTTACGATAACACGCATAAATCTCGCAACCATTAGACACCTTCATGATTCAACTGCTTTTCCAAGTATTTGCGACGGGTGACTTACTGTTGTACTTGCAAATGTGAATGGTGGTGTTATGTCTGAGATTCATCTGATATGTAACTCACATGTTGCTTTGAAGTCCTCAGCCAATCCTACCAGGTTCTGGTCCTAGGACTGCGCTGGGTGGTTGGTTGATAAAGGCGGAAGTAACCACAACGATTGAAGTTTTGTACATTTTGGGGTTCCTGTCTTTGTAAAGTTGACAATTATAAGCCGGCATGCTAGCTCATTCTATGAAGGCGTCAGTAACCAGGATGATGCCGTGAGGTCCAGGAGGGAATTGATCAACTTTTTGTCGTCTTTTCGTAGCAGTGGTTACAACTAGGTCTGCAAAATGGGCAAAAATGATTGGTTTGACCCCTCTAGAAATATATATTCCCCCGCCCATCTGCTTAAAGTATCTTGTGGCCAAACATTTAATTCTTGCCTAGTGAGCGTAAATTAATATGTAATTGGGGCGGAATTGATCAAAATGTATTAAATTAACTAGGATTATGTTTGTTTAATATGCTAAATACAATTAAATTTAATCAACATGAACCTCTATGGCGTAGAATACGAATGTTTTTAGAGGGAAAGTTGACCTAATGTAGGCGGAATTTAACGAAAATTGAAATTCGTCGTCCTTTTCTTGAAATTTAATGAAAAAATTTAAAGTTAGGCTACTGAACATTTGAAAGTAGTTTTTTTACTATAAGTCGACAGGATTTTTTCGGCCTTTATAATCATCCTTGCCGCAAAATGTTCAGTAGCCTTTCTAAGAAACAAGAGAGCTGTATTCATTAGCCTGTCTCAGATAATACGAAAATAAAACCCAGAGCTTATTCAAAACTTTATTATGGGCCTTCCAACTAATAATTTCCCCTCGAAAGTACGCTGGTGTATGATTTCAGAGGCTGAGGGTTATGTAAAGTCGGTGTTTGGTTGAGTTGGTGTGAGAATGGACTGCGTAACCTCAGTTGCGTATTCTATTATTCCCAACAATAATGATTATATTTCAATTTCTATACCTGGCCTTCCCATCTTTGCTTTTCGCTCAATCAGTATTTTACCGGAAGGCATTATGAGTCAGTGTTTAAGTAGTTTTTCCACCAATTTTAGGGCCGTTTGCATGATGACTACTTGAGCAACGAACTGAATGAGCCATTAAAGGTGAGTTTAAATTATGCCCCTTAAAGTCAGGCATCGTCTTTACACCTAGTTAAATTGAATCCTCTGATCCCCTTCTGGCCTGACGTTAATTGTTCATTGATGGCGAGATTTAGTTCGCAGTAACCTGTTTGACTATCCCACCACATACCTCACTGTTTGCTACTCTTAACTATGCAGAATTGTGCGACGAATAGTGTAGGGTTTTACTGCGTTTGTTTTTAAAATTTTAAAGCATCTCGTCATCTGGGCAGTGCTCATGGACTATCCTGAACTAGCCCACAGCCTGCTACAACACTGCCCTAATCCGACCTGTATGGCTCTACTCGGCAGCGCAGTTTACGACCACTGCAGTCGGTACATTCCTTCCTACAACAATGAAACTAAGATACGCTATAGGGAACAGGCTCAGACGCTGGAAAATATGGCCAGCCAAATCGCTACGACAATGCATGAGAAAAACAAGGTAACGCCCTTTCATTCAACTGTCTAGCATTCAGCTCTCTTCTTGTGTCTTTGACAGTGTGCCAGCATCGGCATGTAATTATAACATGCCTTATGTTTGCTGCCTGGCTCTAAAGTAGGGGTTGCGTTTTACGTAAAACGCATCTTTCACAGTTGGGTTAACCGTAAACACGACTAACTGATGAAGAATTCTGTCACTGAGGACTTATGTAGTTACAGGGCAGTGGGGTAGACCTGCTCCTCCCCTGGAATATGTTCAGATCTTTTAATCTTCCTCTTCTGCGGCTTTGAGTATTCCAGATTGAAAAGTTATTCTCGAGCTGCATCCTTGACCAGGAAAAGGCACCCCTGGGGATTAATGGTCATCAACTTGAAGAAGTAGACTGCTTTAACTTCCTCAGGGCGAAGCTACTACCGAATGGGCAGAGCAAGGATGACATTGTCTCCCGCATTGATGCTGCTCGCTGGATTTTCTCAACCCCTAGAAAGCGCCTATTGATCCGACGCGGAATCTCAATCGCCATGAAGATTCGTGTACACCATGCATTCATCCGACCGGTCCTCCTCTATGGATGTGAATGCTGGGCCTTGCGCGCTGAAGATGAGCGCAGACTGGGGATCTTTGACTACCCTTGCCTGAGGACCATCTTGTGAATTACGTATACCGACTTTATCTCG